TAAATAATTATTTTATCTCTTATTTCATCACCATCTACATGAGTCTAAATCACAATTTGCGCACACACACACACACACACACACACACACACACACACACACGACAGCCGTCACCGTGAGACCTGCTGGAGCCAGACCTCGTAAGTACCTTCACACAGTAAGCCGTCGCCGCAGTACCCCCTCCGACGCCGTCTCATGGCGCGGCCACCGTGCCGTCGAGCACCACGACGGTTCCAGCAACCTTTGTTGGCCCGACATCCGTAGTCCGGCACGGCCATTATTCCATCTAGCGCCACGACGAGTCCGACATCCTCGACAGAAGCTCATCGCCGGCGATGGGGATTTATTTACAGTCTCCCGTCATGGTCAGTCGCGATCTGCAGCGTCGGAGTACGTCTTCCACTCTGTCATCCCCCTCAATCACCGCCACGAGCGGGAACCCATAGAGCTCACCTGCGGCGCCACCGCACCCGCCTACTCCTCCACAGGCAGATCTGGCGAGGATGCATTCAAGGCTGAAGCCGAGGCAGCTTCGTGGCTCGTGCACGACCTTAATAGGAGGCTGGGAGTCGCCGGATTTCTGGTCGGCGCTGACAGGGGTCAATGATAGAGGAGTTTGGGGTTGTATTAGGGGAGGAGAATTTTGGGCTGTGCTTTGAAAATTTTATAAACCCCAAGGACTTAATTTCTATTTTCTAAATTTTTATTTAGTATTTAATATTTTTTTTTTTTTTTTGTATTTGGTGGCTGAAGTAAATAATATTTTTTACATAGAAATATAAAATTATAACAGTAATATTTTTTATTTGTTTGATTTGGTTCATTATTTCAAAAATGGGATATAAATTTTGACCCGGAAATTTTAGTACGATCTGTTTCAGTCAATATGTACAATATAGTAGTCAGTAATGTGCATTTCGTACAACAATATTGTACAACTGCAGCGTATAAGTTTGCAATGGTTTGACAATTCAAAACTAAAATTGAATTGAAATAAATAGATTTTTCGTATGGCTAACGGAATTACATTAAATAACCGAAATATTTTATTAATTATACTATAACAATACATTTTTGTATTTTAATATTTGTATTATTCATGCATACTAAGACATAATATATATAATCATACATAATCAATAAAGTGCAATCGCACAAAAATTAATGTGCATCTCGTCCAACATTATTGTGCAATCTAATTTTTATGTGCATTTATTTTTTTAAAAAACATTAATAATTTGTATATCATTAACATTATTTTTTAAATTCATCAAAATATTTATAACCCAAATTTATTTAGCATTTATGAAAGTTATATACTATTATGCAAATGCGTATTTTTGAAAGCATTAGCTTGCATTCGGTCTATCACTATTGTGCAGTATTCATTAACCTGCAACTACTTTAACATTATTGTGTAATCATATGGTTGTCACCATTAATAATTTCTCTCAAACCCGACTAAAACTGAACCAAAATAATTAGTTCACTTATTCAGTTAACTTAATCATACTAAACAATATAAATGGATTATTATTTATATTATGAAATATCTTTAGTTTTTAACATTTTTATTTAATATTTATAATTCTTAAAATATTTAATATATGTATAAAAGTAATTATTTTTTATACAGGTTGGTCAATTTTAGCTAAATCATACTAAACGATTCAAATGAATTATTATTTATATTATGAAAGGTATTTAGAATTTTAATATTTAAATATATATTTTTGGTTGAAAATATTTAATATATGTACAAAAAAATATAAAAAAAATATTATTTTTTATATAGTTCGATCAATTGAATTTTTAAAACTAGTAACAAATATATATAGCTGACATAAAAAATTTCAAACATAAATTTCATATGGTCATCGACGATCGCTATATATATTAATTGTTAATGTGCAATTTATATAAATATATTGTGCAATTACATCAGATTTATATTTATCATTATTAAACACAATAATTTGTGCATCTTATTTACATTTATATGCATTTATTAAACTTTCTATAAACTATAAATTTGGCACATGAATCAAATTGAAATATAATTAAGTTTGATTAAATTGTAAATAAGTCCTTGTAAATTATATAATTTTCAAAAAAATCCCTAATACCAAATTGTCTCTTCACCACCGCACCCCACCTCTCCCCACTACCACAGATCAGTCAGCCCCTCCGCCGGCGACATCTGCCGTCATTGTCTACGGCGGCCTTAATTTCGTTCATTATGTGTACTCCCCGTCCGACGAGGATAATTTTAACCCGCCATTAATGGCGGATGAGCTTGGACGTTGGAACTTAACCTGCGAGGTGGAGTAAGGACGACGGGTCGACGGTGGCCGGAGAGCGACGAATATTTGCGGCGGAGGAGGATGTCAGAGTGCGATGGATCTTCGCGACGGATCTTCACGACGGATCTTCGCGGCGGAGCGCGACGGATCTTCACGACGGTTTCTAGCGTGATAGGCAGCGTGAGGGCGACGACGACATCTGACGTGATGGACGGCGTGAAGACAACGGCAGAAACCCGGTGTCAGGCGACGCTCTGTGAATTTTTTTTCTTTTTTTTTTGTCCGGCGAGATGTGAAGGTCGCGTATGGTGGTGTGTGTGTTTGCCGGTGTGTGTTTGCAGGTGTGCGTGTCAGTGTGTAGAATTAGAAGGGTACTGAATTATGTAGGTGTGAAAGTGAGTGGGTGGGTGGGTCCCACTTGTAAGTGGGTGGATTGTAAATTAATTAGATTGCGTTGACAACTTGGGTAGGGTTAATGTGTACGAAAATTGCGACACTACCCTTAATGTGTTTAATACTTGAGATTTTTTTTAGCTGTTAGATCATCTAATGGGTTAAAATCTATTCTTATTTCTTTCCTGGGGAACCATTCTCAACGGAGCGTCACCCTATATATAATTTATCAAAGTTTTAGGTGACCTCACATTTTTTTAAGAATAATATAGATTATTCTATATATATAATCTTACATCTTATATAACATGTAGGTGTTTTAATGCTATTAAAAAAGATCAAAAAGTATAAAACATTAGCTAATCAAATATAATCGATATCAACATGATAAACTAATAACTCATTTGTCGAACTGATAATTTATATGAATAGATCCATCTTAAGGTTTCATGTAAGTTCCAGCACCACGATTTCCTTTATGATGATCTTAAAGTTTTATTTAAGAGTCAGAGCCAGTCTTTATCGTGTTGTCATATTCTTAAAAAAATTGAGTTTTAGTCACGATCAATATGTTGTTGTTTCGGGTGTAAGTAATCGATAAAAAAGAGTTAGGTCAACCATTAACGTGCATTGACATGTTATTAAAGAAATCAAAGAAATCAGTATTTAGTCACGACCAGTTACTTGTTGTTTCACGTGGGCCCGAGTTGACGTTGCCAGGAGAGGTCAACTTTGCCTTTCCGATGGTTATCAAACATGATATTTTTAATAATATATTATTTTATTTTATTATTTGACAAATTTCTCTACCAATTATCAGTATCTTTTTTTTTTTTTTTTTTTCCAACGACATAAATAATTTCATTAAAGAAAGCCAAAAGGCAAAAAAACAAATACAGGCCCGGAAACCGGGAATGAGAGGTTACAACTCCACCAATGCAACCTAGACGAAATGCTACTAGCAGAGCTAGAATAACAATCACACCACAACACTAAGACAAACTACAACCCACACTAAAAAACAACAAGAAAAGCTCCCAACAGGAGAATCCCGAGTGCGATCCCAACAGGATAATTAATTTGCACTCGGGTCAACCGGGGCCAACGGCCCAAACCTAAAATACGATAACAAACACAAAACACACAACAACAAGAGCAAACAACATAAACGAAAACACGAGGGAACAAAAACTAAACAAAAACACAAAAACGGAGCCCTCCCCTAGTGAAACACAACGAGGCCAGCCAACAGTGAACGAACGACACAAGAAAGGAACCGAGCCTGAGCAATCGCTACTGAAACTGCAGGATGCCTAGCAGTAGGTAAACCCAAGCCCAATACCAATCCCCGAATCGATCCATCGCAAACCGAGAACGCCACGACCAAACCCCACACTCCAATTAGCCCAACCTGCCCTCATACCACGGACGAGGACAAACCAGCCCAGCCCCAAGCCACCTAACACCACTAGACAGCCGAGGGAAGGATGAGAAATTGACCGGACCTTCAACCCAGACCGCCACGACAGACCGCCACAGCCACCTGAGTCCCACCCCCCCCATTGACACACACTCCAACCAACACCACCACGGACCACCAAGCCCAGAAAACCGAGACCCACCAACGAGGCGGAGCTCCACCAGAAGGCAGAGCATATCAATCGGAGACAGGGAGAGTCGAGGGACTTACCACCACAAGATAGGCCTCCGCCAGCGACTGAGGACCCCAATCGCCGACAAAAAGCCGACCGGGAAGGACGCCACCACCACTCAGGATCCCATCTGCATCGATAGTTAGGTCCCCAAACTCGGCCATCCATAGGGCGTGGAAGTCGCACAACGTCAAGAGGGAGATGGGGCGGTCTACGACGACCCCTGGCCGAACCTACACCGTCACCAAAGGAGGCCAATCGGCCGGAATTTGGAAGCTCTTTCTCGGATTTGGGGGAAGGGATGCCGCCGCTGGGGAGATAGGGTTTATTTTTCGAAATTTTGGAATCCAATTATCAGTATCACTATTTTATTTATTGATGCAACTCAATTTACAATATATTCACTAAAATAAAACTCATGACACGGGTTACATATTAGTATCAAAGTAATACGGAGGCGAGAGTGATGCAAACTTTATTCAAACCGAGATTCCATAGTAATTTGTAGTTGTATTACAACAGCAAGAACAAAAAAGCCCTAATACCAGATTACCAGTAGGCAGGGAGTTCATCTTCTTCTGCGGCTACGAATTGTCTTTTAGTAATCGAGAATTATAATTTTCCCTCATCAGCATATCCAATATTTGATAAGATGGACGCTCAGAGAGCTTTGCTTGACGAATTGATGGGCTCAGGTTAGCAGCCCTCCATTGCGTTAAACCCTAATGTTGTTTAATCGAATCATCCTCTTTCATTCGTTTGATATTCAGGTTTTGTTCGTTCTTTCATGTTCTTTCCTTTTTGATTTTGTCATTCGGTTGTTGCTGGATTTACTGCTTAAAGCTCCTAGAGCTGGCTTTATTTAGTAGATTTATGTTTGGGCACGAAGTTTGCATTGACATAGTCGATGTGAACCAGCACGTCAGCCAAATTACCGGTGGTGGACCTCCGAATATATGGTTTTCGGAAAACCAGCTCCTGATTGCTATATAATTCAGCATATCAATTTGCATACTAACTTCTATCCTTGTTCCTTTTTGCTTCAGGTAGTTAATTTTCGTAACTTTCGTATTGTTGTAAACTATACCCATGTTACATTTTCTATAGTCATGACTTGTGTTGAAACTGCTTTAGTTTTTATTATACTCTTAGCACTTCATATGTGATTTTCACCGACACTGGGGCAGTGCTAATTAGAGTGATTTCTGTGGTTTTTGCAGCTCGTAATTTGACTGAAGAAGAGAGAAAAGGGCACAGGGAAGTTAAATGGGATGATAAGGAGGTCTGTGGATGCTATATGATCCGTTTCTGCCCTCACGATTTGTTTGTCAATACACGAAGTGATCTAGGTAATGCCTTGATACTTTCTTTATCAAGTAAGTAATTTATATACATCACAATAGTGTAATAGAATCGCTTATTTCATAATCACACTAGTGTATTTTATTTAGCAGTCTTGGCATTTAAGTGGCTTACTTAGAAATTTATGTAAAGGTTTTATTTTCCTTTTTACAGTAGTTTAAAAAATTCTTCCGTTGTTTGAATCAGGTGTGTGCCCAAAAATTCATGATGCAAAGTTGAAGGAAAGGTAGTGACAGCTTGTAAAGCTGCATATTTTATTTTCATAATCTTTTATTTTTAGTTCAATAGCTTCTGAAGTGCCTTTGTTCCATATTTTAGTTCAATTGACTCTGCTTATTGAAGATATGTTTTCACTTTTCTGCCTTTCTTTCAATTATTTCATCTTGGAAGCACAGAAGTTTATAATAAACGATGGACAAGCTTTGAACATGTGAACTGTCAACTGTTTCGTGGATACATATTGGATAAGTTGTTTTTAAAAGGCGGATAGACTTTAACATGTTCAACTGTCCGATTTTGGTCTTTCAAGTGATAAAATTGGCAAGAGATTTCATTAGATTTGGAAATGGTAGGAATTGAGTTGTAGAAGGTCTGGATGCGCCCAAAATTCACAGTTTTTGGCAACCTTTAACTTGTTTTGGCTCTTCCATAGTTCCATGTTGAGTTAGATAATACATTTGTTGTTAATTTAAAGAATATTTTAATTCAGATGAAGCTTACTTTTGTTACTCGTAGTTTGAGTTACTATCTTGAAAATATCCTGAAAACTCATTTGTTGGTGTTTTCTTTTTCTTTATCTGCTCATCATTAATAGCATTGATGATAATGGTAGGCTAAGAGCGTGCTTGGATACAAATATATCCACTCGAAACACAAATATATCCACTCGAAACGGATTTTTTGGTTAACCATGGGTAATGTTGAAAAAGTTTGTATGGTTAGTTGGTAGTGTGATTTTGAGTTTATATTAAACTTATATTTAAAACTAAATGATTAAAGTTGATTTGATGTAAAAGTAGGATAGAGATGATGTGAAGTGATGGTTAGTTAAAATTATGTGAGTGAATGAATGGTGATGTGTAAAAATGATTGATAGATATCATTTAATTATATATTGGATGGTGGGGTTGGGTTAAAGTTGAGTTAGATTTGAGTATAACTTGAGATAATTTATTAACAAACACACCCTAAGTAATCCAGTCTAATAATGTGTAATACCTCTGTGATGGTGTAGGTTACTACCCGCTCCTGATCATTTTTTGTTAATATAACAGATATTTCTAATCCTGATACGATTGAAAAAATGACACTGTATCCCTATTCACCATTATGCTATCTGTGTGTTGTACCTGTACGGTTATGTCGGAATTCGGATGACGTGGTTGTTTCTATTTTTAGTTCTGAGAAGACACCCAGACAGTACATCTTGAATGCTGCTCCGAGGTTTTCTTTTTGTTGTTGTGAAGATGGATGTTAATTGATGTTTCCGGATAATACTGGACCATATTCAGGGTACAATTTTTAAGAAATTTCTCATCATTGAAGAATTGAAGTTGTGGCCCATGATGAATTGTTTGTAAATAATTGACTAGTTTCATTGATACATAAAGTCTATTTTAGAATCTATGACATTGTGTTTTTTATCTTTCTAGTTTTGAGAAGTCCCCAAGACACGATTCATATGTCCCCAAGTTTGAAGCTGAACTAGCTCACTTCTGTGAGAGACTGGTATGTTTTTTGTCTTCACCCACATGAAGCTCCATATTTCAGTTAATGCTATCCATGATCATAATGTCCAATAATGTTCTCCATTTTTCTTCAGGTCTCAGATTTAGATAGAAAAGTTAGGCGTGGCCGTGAACGCCTTGAACAAGATGTTGAAGTCCCCCCACCTCCTCCAATTTCAGCTGAAAAAGCTGAGCAGTTGTCTGTGTTGGAAGAAAAGATAAAGAACCTGCTTGAGCAAGTCGAGTCCCTTGGTGAAGCAGGGAAGGTTGATGAAGCCGAGGCACTTATGAGAAAGGTAACCTCTAATTCCTCTTGTTTTTGGTGATGTCATGTTTTTTTTTGTAAATTATACCAGATTATGGTCAACCGTGCCTTTCCAGGTTGAAATGCTTAATATTGAGAAGACAGTCTTGACTCAGCAACCACAGCAAGATAAGCTGATGATGATGACAATTGAGAAAAAAATGGCACTGTGTGAAGTGTGTGGTTCCTTTTTAGTAGCGAATGATGCTGCTGAGAGAACTCAGTCACATGTTGCTGGCAAGCAACATATTGGTTATGGCATGGTGCGGGAGTTTTTGGCTGAGTATAAGGTGATATAATAATTATCTAAGTTTTAAGTTAATAAGACAGAGTGAACATTGCACAGAGAAGCTTTCATGTGCATTTGAATCAATCCAAGAGTACCCTTGACGTCAATTGTAACCAGAAAAACAATCTGTTTTTTTACATTCCCATATGAACATCTCTTGTTTGTTTTGATATTCAAATGAACAACTCGAGGCATAGTTTTATTACCCAAGAAAAAAAAAACATGTATTTTTTTAAAACACAAATAACCTCTTAAAGATTGATTTTACATCTTTACTTCCCAATAGCCCTTTTTTAGGCTCTTTGAGGGTCTGGTTTTGCAAGTTAAATACCAATCTCGAAGGGGTTATTTATAATTATAATTTCACAAGATAAGGTACATAGTGCTTTCGCAATAAGGGTAAACCTCAGGGATAATTATCCCCCTTACCTATAAAGATTTCAGTCTTTATATGGGTGGGGTGGTGGTTTTAATTTAGCAGATATGAACCTTTCTGGTTTACATTGAAAGATTTATCTGGGTTCTTTTGCTACTAGGTTATAGTAATAATTGTGATGTGTAACAATTGTTCTTCACTTGCAAGTTTCTTTCTATTGCCAGGAAGCCAAAGAGAAGGCAAGAGAAGAAGAAAGACTGTCCAGAGAGAAAGAAGCGGAAGAGCGTAGAAAGCAGAGAGAGAAAGAATACGAGAGCAGGAGGAGTGGCTCGGCTGACAGGGACAGGTATCGTGATCGGGATTATGACAGATATCGGGAAAGGGAAAATGGAAGGGGTAAGTTGGATAGGAAAAACAACAGCTCAAGTAACGGGAGAGAAAGCAGTAGGGATAGATACCGTGATAAAAGCAGGTCACGCTCTCCCATTAGACATAGTCGGAGGAGGAGCCCGGGTCGTGCTCGTTAAGTTGATTTTTTTTTTTGGGTCTAGAATTATATCTGAATACCAAAGGTAGATGCCCATTATGTTTAATGAACCACTAATGTTCAGTGTATCATTTGATTTGGAGTCTGAAGTTGGTATTTGACAATGAGTAAAAATGTTTCTTCTGTCACAGCTCTATTTGAGACTTTACAATCTCTCCTATCTCCGGTAGAATTAGAAGAGAAAAGGTCGAGGTAGGTAATTTCGTAGTCAGAAACTTTATATTATGCGTTTTTTAGTGTTGTTCCTCTGTACTGTGCAAGCTTTTTTTACTTCTTTTTTTATTTTTGTGTCCTTAAGCCACTATTTTTTTTTTATATCTTTGATCCGGTTGTTCAATTATTCTGGTGGGAATCGATTTCGTTCACTTTTGGCACTTAGGTTGCAATGTGATTTCTTGCTTGTGATTTTTTTTGCTTATTTGGCAAGTTAGCAAGCACTAATAAGATCTCATGCTGTAAATCGTATGGAGCTCTTTAGCGCTGGGGCTAAATTTTTCTCACCCAATTTATTTTCCCTTGGCGTTATATGTTTTGCAGCTATCATTAATATACGCAATAGAAGTATAGTTAGTCTTCTCTTGTGTTTTGGTTGTTGTAGTTTGATTGGGGTTCTGGGAACTGTTTCAGGACAATAAGATGTCTTCTTTCAGTGTGTGAAAGAGAGTAGAGATATTATTGTTTGCAGGCTGCTTTTTATACTATAATGATTGTCGTATGGATAATTGCAATTAACAACCATGAGGTTTGTCTAATTATAAAAAAGTCCAAGCTATGCTTCACATTACAAATATACCTCCTCAATTGTTGTATTTTACGAGTAGACCTGAAATAAATTGGTTGCTTTGTATTATTTTGAGCATTTGATGTTGCTGCCCTCTAGGTTTTGTCTTTAACTGTCCATATTTTGTGACTTGAAGCTATATTCAGGTCACCAGGCAGGAAGCAGCCATTTGATTTTGAGAATATTAGGAAACAAATTGCCTAGGCCAGTATTTCAAGATTTTCGAAGTGGGGGTGAAGGATTGCACTGAATTTGTTATGGTAAACTCCAATAATCTCTTTTGCAGTTGAGACGTATGCTTTTGTAAGAATAACAAATTTCATCATGGTGGCGCACAGTAAACAGTGTTTAATATATGCTTATTTTGGTAAGTTCATACAGTTAGCCTGTGCTGTGTGTATATGCTGGAATTATGATTGAGAATCCCTTTATACCGAGTGTTCTGTGAAGAACTCTTTGAAGTTAAGGTCATGTGTATGCTTGTCATGTGTAAAAAGCTCTTGAAGTCAGGGTCATGTGTGTGCCTTATCAGAGCCCTGTATCTGTAGCTGAAGTCCATGGGTAAAGGAAGAAGTTTCTTTCTTTTTTTCTCTTTTTTTTTTTTTTTTTTCCCCATCTTTTCATCTGCAGTTGAATAATGCGATGAAACTGACAATGATCACACAAAAGCCAATTGGCTGTAGAGGTGAAACTGTTGTTTTCTATATTCAGAGTATATTATGGAATGATTGATGATTCTAGTTTCATATTTTAACTAAGAAGTGATACCATGATGCAGTTGGATCTTAATCTAGCACAAGCAAGCACCGTGCGAATCTCTACGTATATCTTTGGGCCCATTTACTAACCTTGATAGATGATAGGATGAGATAAGGTTGGTTAACCAACCTATCTCTCGTTTAATAAAGAGGATTGCGATAAGGATATAAATGTTGTGGCATGATTTGGCGCACGCGTGTATACTTGTTGGCGGATAAAAAAATCCGGCCATTAAGAGTACCCACAATCTTTGGGTTTCTTACAAAAATACCATATGCAATGTAGAAAATAAATAGATTAGTCTATTAAAATATGTTTTCCAATGCAATTAAAAATAGACTAGGTCTAACTTATGTGACAATCAAAAAATGAGACCAAGTCTACACTTGGGTCTATTTTAGACCCAAGTACAAACCTGAGCAATCATCATTTAGTCTTAATTTAGTTTTGGCAAAATTACAATTTTGGTCCTGTTGCTTTGGCTTCGTGACAATTTGTCATGGAATCGGAGCAAATTCCTATCTAGTCCCGTTATTTTCAAAGTTAATGCGATTTTAGTCCTTCCGGTGTCTAAAAGTCAAAATTGCAGTCGGTTTTGTCACGTGGCCCGTACGTGATGCCCGAGTGTTGACTTTCTCTGACATGGCGAGCCACAACACCGATTTTCGCTGACGCAGCCGATTTCCGCTGACGTGGTAAATAAAATAATTAAAAAATTACACAAAAAAGGACCATGTAGACACATAAATATGCAACATTGGGAATGTCGGGGTCAATTTTTTATTAAGCCTCAATTTTTCGATCCCTTAGAAAAAAAACTAAAATTCCCAAACCTAAACTAAGAACCCTAATACCCAGTTTGCGAAATTCGCACATAAATTTCAGAGAAATCATCTGACAAGGATCATAGGGATGGAATATCGTGATCGATTCTCAATCTTAGCCCAAATTTATCAATCACCGAAACCCTAAGTTCATACAAACACCACTCATAATTTCATAACCAAAAATCATCCATCAACAGAGATTAACTTGAATAAACACATTAACACATTGGTAATCCATAAAACTTACACAAATTCATAACTTTAATTTCAAAACATTCATACCATAAACCTGTTTTACACTGCCATACTCCAAAAATCACCATTACGCATCCAAAGATACTAAACCATCCAAAATGCATCATCCAAAAGCATCCTAAACCCATCAAAACACACCATAGTTTCAGTAACCATCCAAATGTATCTAACAGTTCCACTTCAACAAATTCCAACAAATACAAACACATTTAATTTTCTTCTCTTGATTGCATTGAATTTTGCAGCTGTTGGTACGGGGTAGGCCCGGTCTGATTGAAAAGTCTAGGGATTTCATACTCATCAATGAGTTGACACAATGACTCAAACTCATCATCTTCTTCTCCTTCATGCCTCGTCACTGATGGCAAAAGTGTTGGGTTCTGAAAAAATGATTGAAGTAAGGAAATATGGTTAAAAATAAATGGTTTCAGAAGTGAATTTGTTATATACAATTAGATAATGAAATGAGTGTAAGGAAGACTTACATCTGAGGATTGTTCTGTCCCAACTTTGGCCATCTTTGCCTTTTTCCTTTTACCTCTTTGAGAGGCACCTCTTGCTCTTTTTCTTTCAATCTATATTCAAAGAAATGGATCAGTTCAATCTCAGTGGCAAGAACAACAGTTGACCCAGGGTTTGAAGTTCTTAACTCCTCTGTATAATCCCACAATTGGAAATACTGATCATCAGGTTCTCCTTCAAGTTGTATCAGGGCTCTTCTCTTAGCCATGTAGACCTGATCCTTTGATATATTAACATTAAGGTTGTTAATAATATCAAATCTCAAGCCTTTAACAATTCTTTTAGGATCAGTTTGAAAATGGCTTAAGAACTTCTCACTTAGCAACTTTGATTTGATTTTTCTAACCTAAAAAGTTCCAGAGCAAGAGTGAATAGGGTTGTATTCCCTAATTTGGAAACTGGCTTGATCCTTCATTTTCAAGAGGTTGATATTCTAATTACACTCTTTATATGCACATCTCACATACACTCTTATCTTATCATTTTTTTTGTCTTAGGTTTCTGTTGGTTATTTGAATGTGATTGGACGGTTTTTCTAAATTCTTCTTAGTTGCAAACACCATCCCAATATCAAACACAAGATCCCACACTTGGTTAGAATTAAACACATGAGGATCCACATTTTCATCATCACTACCCCTCAGTTCATCCAAATCATCAAGAACATCAACCACATCACCATCACTATCACTACTAGAATCTCCCTCATCTCCCCCCGCCCCCCTTACTAGCCCTTGCATCCACATTCTCACTAAACAGTGCATCCTCATCATCACTACTACTATCTCTGAAATTATAATCACTATCAAGAAATTAATCCTCATCCTCTTGCCTCTCTAGTTCACTCTATTCATTTTCATTTTTGTCAACATCTAAATTCTCACCAACAACATTCTCACACTCACCGCCCTTCCCACTCTCAGAAGAATTGCCCTTCCCACTCTCATTTTTACTTTTTTCACTCTCACAACCATTACCTTTCCCACTCTCATTCACTTTTTTCACATTGAGCACCACTCTCAGAACCACTCTCATACTCACTCCCACTTTCTTTTCACTCCAATGTACAGTCGACCAGAATTTCACACAACCATGAATTCAACAAAAAATTGCGGTAAATCATACTCTGCAGCCACAGCTGACCATTAAACAAATGCACCAAATAAAGTTGAGATGAATTACTCCCAATATCGAGCTCCCTAATCATGACGACTCGAAACGGACCAGCCGGAAGGTTTTAGTTATGCCAGATTTTTGTTCAAGACTCCACAAACACCTCCTTTTCGGCATTTTGTTAGTCACCTAGATAATAATTCTAAACATATCCATATACATCACGACCTAGCAATATTTCTCCCAGAATATCCATAAAAATGAACATTTCTCCAAAAATGTATGCTAAGAGACTCAATGTTTCAATAAATTGCGTCTATCGAACTTGACTGCTCACAAGAGTTTATACCTGAAGGTCGATAATGCCACTATCCTAGCTCTCCAAAAGAAAATGATTATGCCTTTGAAATTACCATCGACGATTGGCGCCATCATTTATTTTGTCCTCGAAACTCCCCAACTCGTCTACCATAGCTTGTCCCGACTCATGTTATTTCGTCGTTTCCTCGGCAAGAATTCAAAGAGATATCATTATCCACATTATATTCATGTCATCAATTTTGCAATGTTCCACGCAAGACAAACAATAGATCAAATACAAAAATCATCATCTCCTCGATTTAAAACATGTTCGAGCAATGACATGTTTAAAAATTTTGAATAATCCATTTTAACAAAATTCACACTTTCACATGAAAATCCAAATCAGAGGCTCCGGATATA